TGACTGATCGAGGTAGACTTTGTACAAGGCCAATGATCGTGAGGTTAAACAGCGTAGGGCTGAGAACCCCGCCTTGTGGAACGCCACGAACGGTGTAATGATCAACGGTGCGGCTTTCCGCAGTGAGCACAAAGAAGGATCTCCTCTGTAGGTAGCTCCGAATCCATCGAAACAGTTCTCCACCGATTCCAATGTTCGCCAAGGCATCTAGGATGGCATTGTGCGTTACGTTGTCGTATGCACCTTTCACATCGAGGAACATTGCAACCGAGATGCGCTTGAGGTATTTCTGTTGTTGCACAGAGCTCACGAGGTCGATGACATTATCAATAGAAGAGCGGCCTCTTCGAAAACCAGCCATTGCCTCTGGGTATATATTATAGCGTTCAAGGTACCACTCGAGGCGTGTCAGAACCATTCTTTCCATTATTTTCCCCACGCAGCTGGATAGCGCAATGGGTCTTCCGTTTTTAAAGATGTGAGAACATAAGGGCAGTCAAACTGCAGAGATAGAATCTATATTACGATAAATATTTCGTTCATAAAGCTGAAAATATGTTACGAGGATCAAGGAAACAAATTTAAGACTATGTTTCATGCCAGCTGAAGCATTATCTGATGCTTTTGTTAAGTTGGTGAAACAAGTTAAAACAAAATGCTAATATTCCAGCAGGCTCAGAAGTCTTTCTTTCCCTTATAGGTCATGGCGGACATCAGGGCACGTTTCTATTCCACGTTTAAAAACGGCAAAAACGCACTAAAAACGAAGACAAAAAGAAAGCTCACATACATAGGGCTGTGAGTGTGTGAGCCGCCTTTGTGTGTTCATTTTCAGTGCGCTTCTGCTGTTCCTAAGTTATAGATCATGCCTGACAGCAAAGGGTGAATAAACGCGAAAATTAACGCTAAAAAGGCAAGCACTGCCGTGCAGTCAGTTCATGCTATGTCTATCTCGCAGAAAACTCACATTAAAGAATAGCCATGTCACCCTGTCGAAAACGGCAAAGTCAAAGGCAGAAATGTCAAAAATGCCAAATTTACTGCGGGTACCGATTAGACAAGTTGGGGTTTTCACTTTCTGAAATCGCTCTGTGGATAAACAAAATGCCTAGTAAAATGTTGCACGTGTTTGTGTGATACCACGTGACAGGCCTACGACGTCTGCGTCATAAAACGATAATCATCTCCACCTTTTGTTTATGAGGACCTATAAAAAAAATTTAGAACACACACAGGAGAGCCGAAAGAGTGCTCGGGTGTCGGCCGACTGCGCAACTGCGTCTCCTCTGGGTCAAAAAGGATAACGTCCCCCAAGTTGATCCGGGTGTTAGATTACCGAGCCACAGCGCAATCTTTACGAGCGGCAGCACATGCGAAAGCGGCATCGACCGGCTAATGTCCTCGAAGTTTCGCTTTTGTATTTGTCTCTCCGTTTCACCTTTTCTTCCAAACGCATAGTAATGGCGGTTCTTTTACGGCCTGCCGAAACGTATTGTACAAACGCGCCAACCGGTGGAGCGGGAACCAGAAACAATGTCGGTTCACTTTTCTACGTACTTGGCACGTTTCACAATGAAGAGAGTGCTGAGCCGTAAGAGTGGCAGGATCGGATGGTATTGACCGAAGCCAGGTACTTTTTTTGTAGCGTGCAGTACAACCGCACCGTCACGGAGAGCGTGGCGAGCTTCACGGGGCACTGGCACGGGAATACAACAGCTGACCAGGGCGTGGAATATCGGCTTCGCGAAAGTTTGCAAGGGGGTGAAACGCCTATAAAAGCTAGCGCATGCATCGTGCACTGCCTTCGTAGCACATGGTTATACAAAAAAAGCTGGGTCCATCCATCTTTTTAGAAATCAGTATAACGCGAAAGTGAAACGTGTCCCGCCGAGCTAGTTGATCATTCATTGGGCATTGTTTCGCCACAAGGGTGAAATAATGAATGCCGCAGTAAGAAATTACAATGTGACGCAAGGAACGGCAAGCAGTTCGAAACTTGCAGCGCACACCTCATGCAAAAAGCACGCGCGGAATGAGCACACACAGGACGAGCGCAGAGAAGCAGCGGTCACAGCTTGGCACTTGAAGCGCGCTGCTCAAACAGAGAGAAAGACGCACCAAATTAACAGGCAGGTGTACACAGGACGAGTGCGAACAACGGTCACACTTCTTACTACGTGTGTGAGCAGCGCACTCTTCTCGTAACCGCGGCTGCGGCAGCAAGGCAAAGGACGTTCGTGCTCTCTTTAACTACTGTAACTTCAAGCACACTTGCGGTGCAAGCATAAGAAGTACAAAGCACCCGAATTCCGACAAAGGCATGCGCGCGCACCTACTACGCTAGCGAGCACTTTGACCCACTGATCTCCACTAGGGTTGCTGGATGGCGCTTCGCCGCTGTCGCGGCCTGGCGCGCGCACGGCCACCGGAAGTTCAATGGCTCGTCCCGGAAGTTGAGCGTCTGCTACGCTTCTCAACCGCTGATCAGCGTTCCCATTGACGCATTTTGCATTTTGTTCTCACTTAATTGCATTTTGGTGATACACATCGCGTTCAGATCACAACTTATGCTATACCGAAACATGCGACGTTAATATGAAGCAGTTTATAATTGCGAAGGAGAACAAAAATGTCACTTAGGTATCGGTTCGAGAGGAGACGACGCAGCTCGAACGGGATTTATGCTGGCGAGTGGACTTTATGATTCGTGTTAGGAGGCACGTCTTACAATAAATTAACAGTCATGAAGGGGCTTGTATTAGTCGAAAACAATAAATCAACAGCCGTGAAAGGCCTTGGATTATCGGAAAATCAACTAGCTAAGCGAGTTCGATAACAACGCGGAGGAAGCTGCCTGAAACAGAATAACCGATTTGATGTTTGCTACGTGCCGGCCAAAAAAAAAATCCTGAATTGGCTGTGTGCAGCTTGCTCCTGTTTTACCTTTGAAGGTTAGTACATCGGAACCCTTTACAATATGAATTCAAGCATATATGTGTAACCAGCAGGTCAAAGTAAATTCTTTTAAAACGCGCTTTCTCATCATTGCCTGACAAAAAGTATCGCCCTTTCTCTTGAAGGAAAATTTCTAGCTTATGAACACATTTATTGCTAGTTTTCAGGGACGCCCACCCATTGCGCACACGCAGTGCCTAATGAAAACTGGTCTATCCAGATTTAGATTTGCCTAGTGGTTACGGCTTCAATAGGACATTTTAGTGTAACCCTTAAAGAATGATAAAGGAGGAGGCGTGGAACTGCTTCATTTGAATTGAGAGGCCTGCAATTGTACGAAAAACTCATTTACTCAGAACGTTTGTGCACGTGTCCTTGTTACTGACAATGCAGTGCCTGGAGATGGTTGACAATAGTGCATGCAGGTTAATATTTAAGTATGCTTGCTGCCTCACCATTGAAAACAAAACAGGCATACATGTACAAAGATGGATTTCACGTGTTTATTGTACTCGAAGCACTTAAGAACTGCCACGTCACGTCACTTCACTGGTGACTGAAAATAATCAACTCTGCAAGTCGCTTGAAGCACTTAAGAAATGCCACGTCACATCACTTCACTGGTGACTGAAAATAATCAACTTTGCAAGTCGCTTGCGGATGTTTGGTCCTGTTATCTTTGCAGTAGCTTGCTTCGCGGCATGGTGCATCCTGATCTTCACGTAGCAGCCGATGACACATTTAACAAGACGCACAAAGTGGTTGGAGTCAACTGCTGATTCGAACATATGGCCATGCAGTTCCGGATAGAGCTTTTTCGTGCTCAGCACTCCCGAAAGTTCTGCCATAACCTTGGCTGTCACAGTGTCAGCTGCATTCTTTTTGGGAAGGCCTCCGTCGTGAACCTTCTCCTGCAGTCGAACAGCTTTTTCAGTCAGCTGACAGATGTACGTTGTCGATGACGACGGCTTGGAAAGACCTCCACGATTTTTTCTGTTCAGGAGTGCCGAACCACATGTCTCGGCAATGGTGGCCGAGTAGCATACTGCGCAAGGTATTTTACGTTTGACCATTCGGCAAACGAACCCTGCGATGTAACCAACGACGTTTCCAAGGTACGGAGACAGTGCAGGGAGATCCTCAACTATGACATCCAGCTCGCTCTCGTCGGGTAGGTCTATGCCTTGCATGAGGTCCTGTGTGCCGCTTCGCTTTGCTGTGGCCATGTCGAGCTCATCGTTGGAGCAAAACTGACTGCTCACGTACAGTATGCGCGTATTGTCAAGAGACTCACAGTTCCCTCGCCCACCCTTCACCTGGTTGTGTGTGACAAGTCGCTTGTATGCCGCCACAAATTGTGAGACTGTGGGATTGTTATTCCAGCCCCCTTTAGAACGCACAGCGGCAAAGAACAGTTCAATATGGTCTTGTGAAAGCTTGTAAGTAAGAAAGTAACGGAGTGGAGCATTGTCCGAGAGGAGGAGCGCGGATGCCAGACCGATGACACTTTCAATGGTCACCAGAAATCCTAGAAATGGAGTTCTTCTGGGCGTCCTGAAAATGGGAACACCTGATCCGTCAGTCAGCCCCCTAATGTACTCCTTGGCTTCTTCGAAGAAGTTCATCCAGGTTCCCTTGTTGCTAGGTCGGAGCGGCGCTTTGAAACCATTCGCCACTGGGTTGCGTGAATTGAGGAAATCAAACAGTTTATCGAACATTCGAATAAATTTCACAGTTCCTTCTGAATTTTTGAACTGTGGGAGTTGCAAGTCTTCACGACAAAAATCTATGGCGTCAGCCACACTAGTGCTTAAAGTCTGGACAGCAAGGTTGACTTTCATCTTCTGTTTCTGCCACTGAATGTGTGCAGCACGTAGTTTTGTTGCTGCATGCAGGCCTTCTTTTTCTTGAAGTTCTTGTAGCTGGACAATGTAGTCCCAGCCCACCGATGCGCCTGATGCGTCCCTGAGGCACCCAAGAGCAGGAAGAGCATTTCTAACTAACTTGACCATGTGACATGCGTCTAAAAGGCAATACACCTTTTCTTGTGTTACAGGGTGAGGGAATGATGTTGACATCGCTGATGCATCTTCAACGGAAGCCCCCAGGTCTTTGAACATTGTAAAGTTACAACGGAGACCATCACATGTCAATGATGTCACGTGCACTCCTGTCTCATGCAACTTTGTCAGACAGAGCTTCACAATGTTCGCACGCTCTTTTCCTGAAAGACCATTGATCAAAAAATAGCCACACGGTACCTTCCAGTGGGAGTCCAGAGATACGAGCATGAAAACAAGGGCTTCAGACGCAACTGCGTTACTGTCATCGTCCACTTCATTGCCAATATCCACGTAGCCTCGAAATTTTTTTGCCGTCCTATTCAAGGTGCTTTCTAATGGCCATTTCATCAACAACAAGGTTGCAGAGAAGCTGTTTGTTGTTCTTCTTAGCCTCACTGGCTTTTGCTCGGATGGCGTTGATTGCTTCGCTTGTGAATCCAGGTTCTCCGTTAATGGAGCTATACCATTTAGTTATAGTCGATGGATGTGGCAAGGAACATTGAAATGTTTCTCTGACATAGTTATATGCCTTTGTCGAGTAAAACTGTAGCGTGAGTGCAAATGCACGCAGTGCAGGAAAATATTTGTCTCGGCTTAACTTAACAGACGACTTGTCGCCTTCACTGGATGTTTGCTTGAGCAACCGTTTCGTAACTTCCAAGGGGATCCCCATGAAGCACCTTTCAAGCATTGCCGAGGCATCTTCTGAAATGAGCTGCTTGTGCTTGAGGTCATCAATTATTTCATTAAATGAGCTGACCTTCCTTCTTAACCGACGTTCTCGTTCAAGGCTGAGCTTCAGCTTTCTTTTCACTGTCGCCGCTGAATCTGTGCAAGCATCCAGTTTCCTCTTCAGTGTTTTTGGCGTGTCAAGGACTGCATAGCTGTGCTCGGCGACCTGAAAACAAAACAGTGAAAGTTAAAGCTGTTGAAAAAGACACCTTTCACAAAAACCACTCATCATATGACAGTCTTTGTAAAGCAGGCATCTGTTCGTAGCTTACGTGGTTTAACGCAGAAAATAAGCAACCAGGTGCACAAGGGAGTTTAGAAATTAACTTTGTCCCCTTCATTTACCAGTGCACTCGAGAAATGCCACATCAGACAGGAATTTCAATATTTTCCCTGGATTAGAAAAACTGGTGCTGCAGCCATGAATAAAACCAATGTTCTGCTATGACTACAGAACATACCAGGACTACTAACTTGATTCAAATTGGATGCTATCCTAGTGTGCGTAATGTATACAAAGTTATCGTGTTGGTTACCACGAGATTACAAGAAAGTGGCCTGACTAACATCGGACTAGTTACATTCAACCGAGGACGGACCAAGTAGCTGCACTCGGGCAGCGTAGTACAAAAAAAGGCAACTTGCATGGGCTGAGTTCTCTTGCACCGTGGTTGGAGTGTTGTCGTTTGGCTGTTCCACTGGGGTCACATCCACAATGGCAGTTCTCTGCTTAGGCGGCTTTCTCTCAGCAGTCCTCTGAAACAGCCGTGTTTCATTCACAGTTAATTATGCTAATTTATTACTGCGAGTGCAAAATGCTGTAAGTAAAAAAATATGCTGGCGTCAAGCATATTATAGCAGTCTAGCAGTTTCTGAATTATACCACCAGCATCTTAGACAGCTATCATAGCACCACTGAGATATATAACGCAGATAGGAGCATTTCAGAAATTGAAAGAAAAAATTGGGCACTTAAAATTCATGACCTCGCGCTTCGTAACGTAATGGACATGTTTTTCCAATTCCGTTTCATTGCTTACAGTACATGGTTTTCAGAGTAAGTGTGCCAAACAAATTCTCAACCACAGCTTCTCACAGCTATATGTAGATTTTATTGTGCTCCGAGCTAATTTGTAGGGCGTCATTTTTAAAGTGACTCAGCAGATGAACTACGAAAGAAGGTAGCGCCCATTCAGGCGATTTCAGTGTCTAATAAACGTAGCATCAACTGTTGTTATACGAACGCTAAACGAGCGAACTGCGATGGCCGAACAGTATGCTTTTTTTTTCCGGGCCGCTATACCAAAATGCCGAGATGTCGTACTATACCTTTTCCAGGTGCTTCGGGAAAGAAAACAAGGTGGGCACGGCGTCAGGCTGTAGCCGAGTTCGTGCGCCCGTTCTGTCAAAACAGTTGTCAGTAAAGTGGTCACTGCAGAGACTGCTACCTGGGGATGGAGTCCATTTGTCCCTTCTTAAGTTTACCACCCAACGCCGATATAAATCCGGCTTAGAGCGTGGGAACCTGCGTAACAAGAGCCACAGCTTAACAACGACACTGATATCACGTTTGCGTTTCGCTGCGTATCACGCACGTCGCGCAGAATATTGTAATACTTACAAGTGGAACGTCTTCCCAGACGACTTCTCTGGTCTGCTGGTGCAGTTGACGGCGCAACAAGCAGGCATATTTAGCGGAATGCGCGCGAAACCAGCCCATACGTAGCACGCGCTATGCTGGAACGGCGGCCATTTGTCCGACTTCCGGGACAAGAGCTCGAACTTCCGGCGGCCGTGCGCCGGAGAGCTCGAAGCGCCATCCAGCAATCCTAGTGGAGATCAGTGCTTTGACCTTGCCATGTAGAGGCGCGCCCGAACAGCGACACGCAAGGGGGCGCGGCACGACGTGCGCCACCTCGCGACTGATGACGGAAACGCGCTGAAGTTGCCGTGCTCTTAGGATCGTCAGCTGCACATGGTGTACATGAATATCTCCTAAGTACCGACTGAGCCCAATGCTGCTTAGCTTTGGTGATCGGGCGAGAACCAGCGCATTCTGCATGGTATGGTCGATGGCATGGTGTACGTATATAAATGGCTGGCTGTTAATATTTTGGAGAAGGGCTGCTCTGTCGCATTGTGGTTAGCGTCGCGATGCAACAAGGGCTTTTGAACACTATCGCTTTATTACAGTAAAAGTTTGTTAATGTGACCTTCGTTAGTTATGAGGATTGGTTATTTCGCACGACCCTCGGAGTGCGCCAAGCACGAATCACCGCAAACATGCGACGATAAAGAGTGAGAACAACGTTTGCGGAAAACCGAAACGATGTGGCGCAGTCTGAATCGTCATCCGTGGACCGTCTGGCAACGACAGGCAGGCCAGAACTCTTTTATTATTTGTGTTTGCCATCGTGTTTGATCCCTTGTGGAGAGAGGCTGCTCAGAAAGGTGCAGTCGCCATCCGCTATTACGTTCTTGGCTGCCACAAACATTTTTTGGTTTCGTTTTTACTCGGCACACCTGAACTGTGCGGGCACTATCTGATTGCACCGTTAATAAAAAGAGAGCGTTGTCTGCAATGGTTGCAACAAACAGTAGTTTTTTTTACACCACGGGCTATTGGAAATGCGTCGTCGCCCCCTATTAATGCGTCAGGTGTCTTTCGCAGCAGACGCAGCCCCCAATTCTCTTCGGTTTTACTTGCTGTAGTGCGCGCACATGTCACAAACTTCGAACATTGCACAAGCTGTTGAAGGAGAAAAGTTTCCAGCTGCATGTCCGCATTCTGTAATAAAACTCGCTTGTTACATCGCTCGCTATAAGCATTGCTATAAACATTGCTGTGAAGTCGCTTGCTGCATCGCAGTGCAAAATAAGCATTCTTACATTCCTAACTCATTAATTATACAGCTGTCAAGTCATTCACAACGTTAACACTTCATACACGCTTAGAAGGACATTTCATTTAGCAAAATAACATTATTTCAAAAATAAAAATACTACCATCTCAAATGATTTCTCTTTAAAAACAAAGTAAGCAGTCTTCGGCGACCATTTATGCCAGCTCATAGGAAACAAGGGAATTGACACGGGTAGAGCTTTAAAGTTTTGCGACTCCTCAAGAATTCGTTTAGTTTGGTTCCCCTGGCCGCCGTAAATAATCGTGTTATAAGGCGTTTCGCAAGAGCCAAATTTCACGGGTTGATAAGTTGGAAAGAGAATGCATCTGGCCACAACTGCTGGACGCGTTTCGATTTTCTCGATTGCCTTTATGTTTTGATGGTTTGTTTCTCTTTCTTAGCAAAACTATTGTTCCAACTAGGTGTGTTCAGGACGCTAAATTGAAAACCGTGAAATTTAAGCGGCGTGGCATGGCTGCCCTCGTGCAATACCAAACTGATTCTGCTATTGCGCAGTTTAAGACAAAATTTCTCCCTTGCGATTCGGAGCAACACATTACGGTGAAATTGATGACACGACTGTATAATATTGTGCTTGCGCAAAGATACATGACACTGTGCACAATGCGAAAACTTTAATTCCGTGGAGACAAAGGTGCTTTAAAGCGTCGTTTGACGGTGTCTAAATGGGGCATTTGGTGCGTGAGACTGGCACTGACCATACCAGAAAGCCTCATATAATGACAGAATACATACAGCTTTACTTATTTCTAATAAGGAAAGTTTGTTCAGTGGTAGAAGTGAAATTTATCATCGCACAATGTACACGCAAAGCAAGAGCATTGCTGATAAAGATATTTGACGTCCACTAATTGGTAAATATAACAGTAGTTGTTATGGTTCAACTCCCAAAAGCCTGGTATATTTACGAGAGTCACCGTACATATAGGACTCTCTGAGTTGGAGCACATTTGGTTCTTTAACGTGCATCTAAATACAATCACTAGTTCAAATTCTAGAAGCACAAACTTGCTCAAACCGGCGCTAGCTGTTATACACCAATGGCTGTCTATATCTTGAGGGCGATACAGTGTGTCGGCCTCCCTCTCCCTCTTGCCCTCCCTTTTTCTCTAAATTTTAATGCCCGTCTCCAGCGGCAGCAGGCAGTTTTTTTTTAGAGTGCTTAACATCATTGCCTTTACTCTTTTTCCTGTTTCTTCTATCTCTCTAAATCTCCCTGAATCCAAGCACACGGGTCTCCAGCCATTTTCCTCGATGAAGATGCGTCTGCTACCGCCGGATTTCCATTCCGCGACCTCGAAGTCAGTAGTCAAGTGCCATAACCACTAGACCACTGCAATTTTGATTGGGTTACGAGTTCTTATGACGCCAAGGCTACAAGGAATTCACCCGTGATGCAGACCAGTAGCAAGATTTTTTTGTGTGTGAGACTTTACCTTTGCTGAAGGCTTTGACTATTCTAGAAACAGACCTATCTCATTATTTATTATCGGCAAAACAAACCATGAAGGGTGCCTGTAGGGTACCTCCCTGGCTACGAGCCTGCTGTGGCGGCTTAATATAAGTCTACTTTTTTTAATCTAAGTTGAAATGTCAGGAACACGAACCCGCATCATCTGTGCCGTCTTCGTTAGGAGTAATGCAGGATCGCATGTGGCAAGTGTTGTCGGATGGTTTATTGTTAGCCCAAAAGAAACATCAACTACGATGCAAGCATCCACTTATGGATAAGTGAGCGCCAAGGCCCACCACTACCACTCTTATTGCTAATGCGACCACTAATACCGCTGCTGCTACTGCTACTACAGCTTTTAATACCACAGATTAACATCACGTAAAATAATTTTTTCTATTCCGTCTGAATCCCAAGTTGAATTATTTTGGGCGATGACACGTGCACGATGACACGTGACAACTGCACTCCCCAACAGAGTGAGAGATGTTTGAACTCCTTTAGCTTTACAAGGTCTTCATTTTTCATTCGAGAGGGCGTCGCATACTTACTCCCAGCTTGCGTCGGTGCGACGGCATAGTCCTCACGGATGAACATTGATTTTGCTGGTGATGAACTGAGATAGGTTCTCTCTATCGGGCGAATGCAATGCGCTGTTGTTACTCGTTTGTTTAGGCATGCGAAAGCCCATGGGCGTAAAATCCACGTGCTTATTTCTGGCTTTCTGCTGTGCGTGCTCATGTGGCAGCAAATTATTTGTGTGTATCCTGGAACGACTGTGCGACTGGACTTTGACGCGCTTAGGTATTTACGTATGAAACCAGTACTGCACACTCTTTGGCAGCGATACACTGTGGCCTAAAAGCAACTTCCGCTCGTACAAGCTTGAATCATCCCTACGCCTTAATACATTCATGTTTAAAACAAAGGCTCTTTGTTCACACGTGAAACGAGGCCAGAAAACTAAAAATAGACAGGAAAGCACTTAACTCACAACTAAGTTTTTTTTTATTAACAGAAAAAAATTTCTTCTTTAGCAGCTTATGATTATAAAATGTATCCGAGTGCTTTGTAATGGGTCGTCCATCGTGTGTGTGCTTGTGTGGTTCGATGCCATTATAAGATAAACCCTGCTTTTACTAAAACTGCTTGTCACGCAGGCAGCCTGGGTTCAATTCACACTCGAACATAAGATTTTTATTTCATTTTACTTTATTTGTATGTTTTTATTTTTCAATCGCCTAGAGTGTTTATTGCTCCAAACCAACGACAGCTACACCTACACAGAAATTAACTTACACAGGTTAATTAGTCTAGTTAACCTCCTTAACTTTCTGGTATTTTTTCTTCTCTCTCTCTCTTTCTCTCTGCTAAAAGAACTCTTTAACGCTATCGCGTTAAAATTATGGCGATGTAGTGAACCAAGACACTTTTATAAGGATGATAGCAGGGCAATACGAACAAGGGAAGAACAAAATGACACATAATTATAAATCAATGCATGAAAAAGCTATACGTAAATAAAAAAATACTCACGACAATAGATATTGCACATGAAGTGCATTGGAAGGACACGGTTCAAGCCTTGACACGCAAAGTTTAGCAAGGAGGTACAGATGGCGAGCACAATAATGAGTGTACTGTGGCACCTTTGTCGGAGGAACTCCGTACTTCAGCGCCAGTGATTAATTCCTCATCTAATGCAGTTGCCGTGTAGAAACGCGACTACGTGTCCGCTGGGAGGTATCTGTTTGTCCCAGACTCTCAGGCGTATTAGTAGATACACAAAAGTGGGCTGTCGCATACAATATGGCACACACTACCCGAAAGTGCAAACGGGCTACATCGGCATATGTTGCCTGTCTTGTGTATTTATAAAAGCTTTATTCCTAAATATTTGTTTTATTTGTTCCATTTTTCATTCGTAGCCCAGCTGGTTTCTTTTAGCGCAAGATTTTAGGTGACATCAAAGCATGGTTATGATGAGGGTGCCAAGAAAGTGAAATTGAATTTCTTGTTTTGATGTCTTCTGCAAAATAACTAAATGAACGTCTTACCTAATTAAAGTAAAATAAATAACTGTGCATCTTAGCGTTATTTGCACGTGTGTACGAGAGAAACTGGTTTTCATGTGTTAAAGTTCGATGTTTTATGTAATCAATTGTTTACGTCTCCTTCGCCGACATTAGACAGTGGATGCGTGCGTCAGAATCATTGTACCCGAGCAGCTATAACCATTACATGCTTATTAACTTTCAAAATCAACATTAGCTCACATAATATACCATGTACATTTTCACAAGCAGAGGTTT